TAAGTGATTACGGATAAAACGTTTCTCTCCTTCATCTTAAAATGTCTAGTAGACATACAAAAAAAAATGTTAGTTAGTTTCTTTTCATTAAGAGATTATTCTGACCTTCAGTGTGATCAATATATTTTCTCTTGGTCTCCTCTCTCTTTTTCTTCTCCACACAAAAACGTCTTTCCCTGCAGTGAATGCAGGTAAAATCTTCTCTCCTGCAGGGAGTGCAGGCAGAAAAACATTCTTCTTTATCTGCCAGCCGTTAGTGGAAAAATTTTTCATTCACCTGCAAACTGCAACCTGCCTGCACTGCCTGCAGGTTGCAGGCAGTTTACAATGCAGGTGATCAGCTCTGGTGGGCAACCATGTGCGTATTACATGAAAAAATGAAAGTGGACTTTCAGCAAATTCAAATAGCAGAACATATACTTGGGCAAACGCTCTGTCTTTTTGCCCTTGGAAGTGTTTTTCTAGGTGTCATAATTTTTAGCGAGAAATGAGTGAATAAAATTTTGTCGGAAAACAGAGCGATAAAGATAAAATTACTTTTGTCGAAACAAAGTAAGACGTTTGCAAATTTTATACACAGTGCAAAATTAGACCTTCCACTCTATCTACTCCTGAAAAATCCTTTTTCTGGGACGCTTTATCACCGAGAAAAGAAACTTTGTTTCTTCGCTAAGTGTTTTCCAAAGAGCATACCTCAGTATAGTAAGGTTCCACAGTTTTCCACAGCTCCAAACTCAACAAAATTTTTACAGAAGATACGTTCACTGACGATATATAGATGTCAGCGCAAATGCTCGTGGGCTGAGTTATAGGTTTTCCGGAAACCCGTGGTTTTTCAGATAAAATCAGATTATCTCCTATTGAAAACACATTCATTCAACAATAATATCATATCCGGAATTAGCGTGGACAACTGCATCATATGATATATAATTTACAGCTGTTTTTTGGGAAAAACTTATAAGTTTTCGTGGAAGGCTAAATGTGCGGCAGCACCGTGGTACTTGAGGCTGGTAGTTTTTATATCGTTAGAAAAGAGATCTGGAGGCCTACAATTAATTGTATAAGTTTCCGAGTACGGCTGCTTCAATGGACTTATTTAAAAAATTCTAAACTGATTCTACAAGGGTTTTCTATAGCCCTTTAAAATCTAGTCTCCACATGCCTATCCAAAATTGCCCAGTGCGTTGCTTATAGTTTAAATATTGTTTTTTCTTCACGTGTTATGAAGTTCCACTATCTTGCTTATACGCAACAACAAAGCTCATTCAGTTTTGTTGTTTCGTTTTCTGATTCTGGGCGTCATAAGTGTTTTGATGGTATTATTTGTTTTTAAACTGAATGATGCTTCGTAGGCTTTTCTAAATACGTACAGCAAGGAGCGTTTTTTCTCATAACCTAGTCTTTCAAAGTTTTCTACCTGCTGCAGTTGTCTCTAAATTTCCTGACAAATATTACGCGAAGTGTAATACTTTATATCAGAAATGTTCCATTTTCAGATATTATACATAGAAAAATAGACGATATTCACTTTATCTAAATCAAACAATGCCACAAGAACCTAAGCTATTCGACACGTGCGTGCAGAGCAAGTTCTATTTTGAACGCCAAAACATTGACTTAATTACCCTGTTTATGAGGATTGCTTTTTTTAATTGAATTTCATACTCGTTTTTCTCGGGAAAAATGTCTTTTATGCACGGTTTGCTATTTTCCATGCACTAAGAAATCTTTAGACTTTTTTGTGCACGGTTACAGAAAGGTGCACGGCAAAAAGACACAAATGTGCACGGGTTTTCAAGGAGTAAAAGATAATTTTGCATTTTACATGCCGATGACTTAAACAACTAGGATGATCTACGAACAGACGTCTCGTTTAATACAAATGAGACTTATTGACTGAAATGTATGATAAATCTTAAACATTGGTGTAGAGTGAAGTTCATCTCTTAAAGAATTAATTCAACCCACACTGTTCTCAATACATTCTAAATATTTTTTCTTTAAACAAAAGTCATGTCAAGAAAAGTTTGGAGTTTTGTTAATAAATATTTACAAAAAGATGATTTGGATGTTTATTTAAATCATAACAAAGTATCAAAATTTCAAACGGAAAATGTGAAAGATGGAAAAAATCTGCTAATTATTTTCTGCAGATTAAAGAGTTTTCGATTCATTGAGGTGAAATATATTTTCCAGCAAACAATATCGTACGAGTTTGCCTATTATGGATTAAAAACACAAACGGACGGTTACATGCAAATGTGATTGCATCTGTAAAACCCGAAGTCCCAGGCAGCATGCTGTTTGCACTTCCTGCTTGAACACCATTTTCATTAACATCGATAACCGAATTTTGTCTAATATTTTCTATTACCAATCGATTTGTTCCCATTGTCGCTGAATATATATCAGTGAAATTAGCTTTAAAATAATCAAATGCGTCTTTCATACCAAATCGAATGAGATGATCTTTTAAACTATCGACAACATATTTTATTCGAAATTTTGGCAATAAAAGATCTATCCTTTTGAATTCTCCTAATGAATGACGAGTGAATAATCTATGATAGTTTTTAATTTTTTTTCAACATCCAATAGTTTAATATTTTTATTCGGTAATATGATAGTGAATGTGTATTTCGTATTATTGTCGTCGCCGATGTAATATCGTTGATGAATCATTTGAGCATCAAATTCATCGGTTAAATCAAAGTATTCAAAACGTTCGTTTTTGTACATCAGAGTAAAATTTAATGTTGTTTTACCATCATCTCCATAAAATTTGTAATAATTTCTTGTATAATCTCTATCAAATGGAAACAACCATCGAGCTGAAGTAAAAAGAATAAAACAAATATAATGTAGTCATCTGATATGCAGTAAAATTGTTTTACGTTCCCCTGATAAAAGTTTTCTTGTTTTGCAAATGTCTTTCGATCCTGAGTGACTAGACGCAGAATCAAAACAAAAAAGTTTTAACGGATCGAAACTATTTGGACAAAATATTGACAAGAAGTCACAACGGAACCAGCCAGCTATGTAGTTGTAAATACGTTAGGGACATCTGCGGTGGAACAGTACACCAAGCTCGACTAAGACTCTTACATTTTCAACAATTTTCCAGAAAAATTCACATTACGAAAATTTGACGACAAATTTCTTTGTAAAACATTATACTTAGACAATATCTGTTTCTCAACAAACAGTTGGAAAACTAAGCTAAAATGATTTTGACTGATGTTACACTGAAAGTATGGGAGAACATTAGAAGGAGAATCGGTCCACTCGGATTTTCCCATTTCCAATGGCTAAATTTATTAGATAAGTCATGTTTCTATTATTCTGTCATTCGCAAGCGAAAAAAGTTAAAAAAATTTTGTTTCCACCATCATAATCTTGCTCTCCCATCCAACTAGTAATGTAATTAATTCTCTTGACTAAAACAGTAGATAAGATCCATTCGACCACTGCTAGATAGGCGATGAAAAACTGAATTGAAAGACATCCAAATCATATCTTCACTATTATTTGGTAAAAAACGACCAAACTTTTATATGGCTAAATACTGAATGGGATACAGATTCACAAACTTAAAAGTCAGATTGCATTTCAGTCTATATGTATTTCGATAGAGCATGAAATTCTCTACAAGATGGCCAATTCATCTTTAGGATCGGTTTTCGATTCGAAGTTTTTTTAGGGCCCAGAAGTAAATTGACTAAGTGAACTGAGTCTTGCTGAAAATTTACCAATTCACGACCAAGTATTCCAATCTCCCTCAAAACCCAACATCAATTCGACTTAGTTTAAGCTTTTATTAAAGAATGGAGAGTAGCACAAGCGGCCGAAGCCATACAGCGCATAGCAAATTAAATAAAAGGACCATAATTCATAATTGGTGGTGAAGAAGATACGGAAAAACAAGAAGGGATAGGGGTAAATCACTCGAGAGTTTCGGGGCCAGTTTCAATAATAATGAATAATAAAAATGTAAACGAAAAGTGCGAAAGTCGAGGACTAGAAACGCCTCGTCTTCTCAATAAATTCAACGACCGAATTGAAAATAATCAATCTCTGATCTTCATCTCTATCAGTCTCATACAATAGCAATGTCTTAACGTCAAACTGAGTTAGAAAGCTCAATTTTTTCCTCATTTGTCTTCTTGCCCGTTTATAAACAGTGCAATCTAATAAATAATGTTGTAT